GATTGGTTGTATTTGCATCATTGTGTACTGACATCGACGTGCTAGTCTTTAATATCACTCAAGTTGTTTGTCTACTTGTGAAATATGATTTGCATTTGCTTAGTTGGCTCGGAGTTTATTGTCTGTTCGTCTTCCTTGAAAGTAAAAGCCTCATGCATTGTATTCATTGTTTAATTTTCCAAGCACTCTGTCCACGTGGTTTATCCCATCAACTAGTAATCAAACTGTTCATTGTTTAAGCACATATAAGTTTAATGTCAAAATTAGGCAATGGCGTCAAATCATTGACACACGCAGCCATTTTATAGGTAATACTGGTTTCATTTTTTTGTAGATACCCCGTTGACATCATTATTCCTGACGACCCAACAGATAAATAGCACGCAGCCTGGATCAACGTATATACATACGACACCAACAACCAATCACATAGTGTCAACTACATATACAACAAATAAATTAAGTACTTCTGATATTAGTGTAACACATATACATACCTTTGAGTCAAAGCCAGTTACACATATTGGTACAACAGAGCATGAATTACTCACAACCCAAAATATAGATATTACATTACCTATTGAAAAGACACACAAATCAGCCATACCTACATCAAGTGGCCAGGTGGCATCCACAACTCCCATCTTTTATCCACCAACAACTTCCATAATAACTACTCCAAAGATCACATTGCGGCCAACCTCACTCAAACATGTTACACCAATTACACCATATTTGACTACATTGTCTGCCACGATGCCATCAACTACTCAACATACAAGAGCGCCATCTACCACAGCTCCGCCAACTGTACCACAGTCCACTATGCCACCTATATCAATGTCATCTTCTATTCTACATTCAACAGGGTCATCTACCTCATCATCACCAACTATACCACAGTCGACTATGTCACCTGCATCAAATCCATCTACTATTCCACATACAACAGAATCACCAACCAAAATACCACCAACAATACCACAGCCGACTATGCCACCTACATCAATAGCATCTCCAATTCTACATACAATAGGATCACCTAATTCAGCACCACCAACTATACCACAGTCGACTATACCACCTACATCAATGGCATCTACAATTCTACATACAACAGGGTCACCTACTACCGCACCACCAACTATACCACAGTCGACTATGACACCTACATCAATGGCATCTACTATTATACATACAACAGGGTCACCTACTACAGCACCACCAACTAAACCACAGTCGACTATGCAACCTGCATCAATGGCATCTACAATTCTTCATACAACAGGGTCACCTACTACCGCACCACCAACTATACCACAGTCGACTATGTCAGCTGCATCAAAGCCATCTACTATTCCACATACAACAGAATCACCAACCAAAACACCACCAACTATACCACAGTCGACTATGTCACCTGCATCAAAGCCATCTACTATTCCACATACAACAGAATCACCAACCAAAACACCACCAACTATACCACAGTCGACTATGCCAACTACATCAATGTCATCTACTATTCTACATACAACAGGGTCACCTACTACAGCACCACCAACTATACCACAGTCGACTATGTCACATACATCAATGGCATCTACTATTCTACATACAACTGGGTCACCTACTACAGCACCACCAACTAAACCACAGTCGACTATGCAACCTACATCAATGGCATCTACAATTCTTCATACAACAGGGTCACCTACTACCGCACCAACAACTATACCACAGTCGACTATGTCAGCTGCATCAAAGCCATCTACTATTCCACATACAACAGAATCACCAACCAAAACACCACCAACTATACCACAGTCGACTATGCCAACTACATCAATGCCATCTACTATTCTACATACAACAGGGTCACCTACCACAGCACCACCAACAATACAACAGTCGACTATGCCACCTACATCAATAGCATCTCCTATTCTACTTACAACAGGGTCACCTACTACAGCACCACCATCTATACCACAGTCGACTATGTCACCTACATCAATGCCATCTACTATTCTACATACAACAGGGTCACCTACTACAGCACCATCAACTATACCACAGTCGACTATGTCACATACATCAATGCCATCTACTATTCTACATACAACAGGGTCACCTACCACAGCACCAACATCTATACCACAGTCGACTATGCCAACTACATCAATGCCATCTACTATTCTACATACAACAGGGTCACCTACTACAGCACCACCAACTATACCACAGTCGACTATGCCACCTTCATCAATGCCATCTACTATTCTACATACAACAGGGTCACCTACTACAGCACCACCAACTATACCACAGTCGACTATGCCACCTACATCAATGCCATCTACAATTCTACATACAACTGGGTCACCTACTACAGCACCACCAACTATACCACAGTCAACTATGCAACCTATATCAATGGCATCTACAATTCTACATACAACCGGGTCACCTACTACAGCACCAACAACTATACCACAGTCGACTATGCAACCTACATCAATGTCATCTACAATTCTACATACAACAGGGTCACGTACTACAGCACCAACAACTATACCACAGTTGACTATGCCAACTACATTAATGCCATCTACTATTCTACATACAACAGGGTCACCTACTACAGCACCACCAACTATACCACAGTCGACTATGCCACCGACATCAATGCTATCTACTATTCTACATACAACAGGGTCACCTACTACAGCACCACCAACTATACCACAGTCGACTATTCCACCTACATCATTGGCATCAAGTACACCATATACAACAGGGCCACCTTTCATTACACCATCAACAGCACCACAAACATCCGCACCACCAACCATTTCAACTTCAGAATTCTCAAGTGTACTGCCAACAACTCCTAAAACAACAGTATCGCCTATCACAACTGCAATTACGAGAATCTCTGGTAAGTTAGTTACATCAAAACTTGTATTTAATACATGGGAACACCTAGTCTATCCCCATATGAAAAAAAAATATTAGATTTAAAAAAAAATAGGAAATAAACTATGAAACAGTTATTAATCACCAAAGCATCGGAACCTTGATTCAAGCGTCCCAATGTATTGAATAGTAGCCTCAGTAAGTCGCGTTCATTGTTCTCTATTTCAGCCACAACTGAAACACCATGCTCTCCAGATTGTGACGGCGTTTGCTCATCGGCTAATATACCCCTATGTCCCTGTAACGGAACTTCATGTGGTGAGTATGTCATTTATGCGATTCAGATACAAAATATTTTTCGTATTAAATATGCGTTGATATTCATTGATGGTTGAGCTATAAAAGAACTTCTTATTAGCACCCTTTCACAAATTTTGCCTGCGACCTCACAATTTAGGTCTAAGAAAATGTTTTCGAAAAATATCTGCCAGCTTTAAAAACTAATTATCTAACTTGTTGAGTGCGAGGTGGTTTGGATCTGGATTGAGCAAAACATGATTGGTTTAATAACGTTTGACAAAATATTATAAGCATTGCACTTCAGCCGAGAATCTTAATAATCTAACTGGAATAAAACAATGGTGTGTGGTAGACTAAGTGAGACCGAATTATACATGTGAATACATTGCATGGAGAATATACACAATATTTGCACCATTTATCTAGATATGTGACACTAAATACCAACAATCTTACTAGAATTCACGTATAAGAGCACACAACACCAATATAGCAACTGCAGTAGATTGTCGATACGCCATGCTGCCTCCGTTTTACTAAATAAATTTGATGCTTTTGTTCTACCTACATTTATTGGTAATAAGCGCATTCATTCGGGTCCTGTGGCTTAAAGCGCAAGTAAAACACAATATTATACATCTGGCATCGTAACGCCATAAGTTGTAACCGTGCCGTCGGTCGATACTGCCGCTGTACTGTCTTCTTGCATACTTTGAGGTGTCCTCGTAATAACCTCGTATTATTTCTTCACACGAATTGCAAACACGCGCTGAGTGGCGACTACTGAGTGAAGACGACATTGCAGCTATATTTGTATTTGTTGCTTTAGATGTTTTGTTATATTTTCCTTTCGCTTTCAGATTACGCACTCATTGGGTGTTTCACTGATACACAAATACGTGCAATTCCAACCCTTGAAGGAACTGATCCGCGACTGGACGGACTATACCAATCACGCTTAAATCCTATTGAAAAATGTGCGGCAGTGGCTCGAGAATAATGGTTACGGAATGTTTGCGATTCAAAATGGAGGATGGTGCGCATCAAGTTGCACTGCTTGTCAAACGTATGACATATACGGTGCGTCAACCGATTGTGCTGGGGATGGTGAGGGTGGTGCATTCGCCAATAATGTTTATATTTTCGTCAATTATTGAGTACATACATACATAATTTATTTGTATCATTTAATTAATCATGCATTTGATTCATATAACCTAACACTCTTTTACACTATTAACAACAAAAATGGCCATACCGAAACATTTTTAGTTTAGTTTACTTCTTTGGATTTGTTGAATGACTGTGAGCAACAATAATTTCCGTTTTTGCGTTTAGAAATGATCTTTCAGAAAATGATATTAAGCTTATCATATCAATTCAAATAATCGGCTATTAGCTAAATTAGCATTATTATACATTAGCTATATATTATACATATGTTCTGTTTTAATGTTGTTTGAACAACTTTGAATCATTGCAGTATTCTACTATACAAATGTACAATTCAATTTATTTTTCTGGCCCTGTATTCAGCGCATTTTGCTCCAACACCAAAGCAGGTGTAAATATGACTTAGATGGAGATGCATAAATTGTAATGCTTTCTTAGTGATGGAAAGTTCAATGTAGCGTTAGTAGTGTTTGGCTACATCAGGGGAAGTTTGTTGTTCTTTTGTGGAGCTTTCTTTGAGATATACATTTCTAATTATACATTCTGTACACGAAAAAAGAGATTTGGTTGAACTATTAGGTGGCCATGTGAAATCATTCTTCACATTTACACGTTTACTACTGATATGGTGATGTGCACTTCGATGCAGAGATTCGTATGAATTATTAGCTCATTTAACGACTTCAATGCACATATCTACTTCCCAGAGATATAATATGGCCACACATTTACTAGTAACTACTGGGAAGTGTGCACACAGGCGATGTCATTTCGCTAACTTAAAACTAAACTAAAATTAACTTTTAATTAAAACTATTAAGCCAAGGATGTTGGTGAGATGGCAGATATAATAGGCTTATCTGAAAATACAATAAAACTGTTACAAGGATAATCTCGAGTGGTAGTAATGTCATTTGTCAGTGTCCACATTAGATTTCATATACAAAATCACTTGATTATGAATGATATCTGGCTGATCCTACGCGTGAAACAATCGTGCTGTTTACAAATCCCGACATCACCTCACACACACCATATACCTTTGTCTCATTGATTCGACTATGAAGTGTAATGTACTTGTCCATTGACGTGAGTCGCTCGTGTTGTGTTTTTGGACATGGATATCCTTATAAGACTTTTGTTAAGAACCTACGTTAAGTATGTTAAGTACGTTTTGTTATTCCCACGTACAATTTTAAGGGACCTTTCATATAGTTTAGTCGAACATACAGTTTTGGACATACGCATACATATAAAATCGTTCATCATAAATATATATTTTGATCGTGATGTGCTCGCTTCGAAAATAAGCGCAGTACTTTCTTCGATTTTTATTTCGGGCAAAAACAAATACGTAGAATACCCTTTCAAATTGTTTATTAAAAATTGTCGATTTCTGAACGTATTTTTAAAAAGAGTTTCTAAATAAGACGTAAGGTTTGTTGAACACAGGAAAATATGCAAATTGTTTCTAATTCCACTTTGTCATCATATTCAGAAAAATATGATACATGGCATATATAATACTTTAGTTATTACCGCATCACATCCATATGTTAATCCATTTTTTCAGAAAGATTCCTATGGGTATTATGTTTACGATATGCATGTCACATACCAAATGAAATAAGTGTATGAAACTGTGAAAACAGGTCACACAGACTACTAGCAAATGAAAATAAATAAAATTATGAATGTTATTCGTTAAAATACGTTCAAAATTGTATTATCAAAATTTAATGTCCTTTTCAAACATTGGGAAGACACTTCCACTCTTATGAGAAACATATCCATGAGTAAATCATGCGTTGTGTTATAAAGCAAACCCATTTTGACAATTCACGACTCCAGTTCCCAAAACCCAAATAAAATTAAAATAGGAATTGTTTAATTTACAATAATTTTTTGTGGTGAAATTAAATAATAAATTACTTAATTTGTATTGTAGTAGAAATGACAGAAGAAGAAAATCAAAACATGCAAAGAAAGAATTACATTTAATACTGCCTGGTTTTGTGCAAATTGAATAAAATCGTCAAAAGTTTAACTAACAGTGTTTTACTGTGTTCTCGTCGCATTCAGTGACTTTACTAATGTTTTTTTTTACGTTTATGATAGGCGTAATACAATTTTGTTGTTTCCATCTAAATTCGTATACAACTATTAAAATCTTAAATACATAACAAGTGGCCATCGAAAACAAAGGTCCCCGCCTGCTTGTCTAAGTGGCAAATCCCCCACCCAGGGCAGGCCCTGCAGTGGGTATTTTATTTCTTACCTGCCACTATGGCAGAATTTTATAAACATCCGGCCATTATGGTACTCATGCTACTCTCTAGGACAGCCTAAGCTCGAACAACGTTGTTGACAGCTTCTTATTAATAATAGTGGTATCAGTATACGTTTCTGGGTTATCTCGGTTAGCTATTAACTAGAGTGGAGAAGAGGGTAGCCGATCAAGAACGATTTCCGTTCATCGTGAATATGCAGATTTTGATTGATATTTGAACAATGTATACCATCAGATTTAATTTGATGCAACCTTAGAGTATGAGATGCAATGTGTTTAAAAGTTGTTAAGATGAATTTATAATCCGTGGACTCTTTTTTTGTTAAAAATCTAACACGACAAGATTTGTTAAAAGGGCAAGTAAGAAGAAATGCGAAAAGCATTTGAACCTAGTATTCACCGAACTTCATCGTTGGAGCCATGCTATCAAGTCAGATATGTCACCTTAAGAAAAAATGTGCGATTATATTTTAGTCGTATAAAAAGCCGTGTTCAATTAGCTAACGTATTTTTTCACAAAGGAAATCATTGTAAGAAACTCATTTTAGGTCCCGCAATTGCATAGATGAAACTGCACGTATATTTGTGAAAACTATTTAATGGTGAAGAGCCTGTATTTATTTCATTGAGGGATTGTTTGGGTGAGAGCTGTATTTATTATTATCGGCATTATACACTGATCTACCTGATTGAGCTCATGCAAGTCAATGACAGTTTTGTCTTTTTTTTGTCGTTTTCGCCGGATGACGTGAGATGCCTAGGTTCGAGCATGTGTTTATTTACTATATAATATTACTACATAAAACATGGCGCACATGTTCCCTGTTGTGAATGTCTGGCCAACTGTATGATTTTGTAAATGAAAATGTTATTTTTATAAATGGGAATTACCTAAAATAACTAGATCAATGGCTTGCAAGTAAAACTATAATTAAAACAACAATTAAAAAGCATGTATTTTTCCTTTTGGCTCTTTTGCAATCAAACTAGATATGATTTTGTTTTACATTAAAATAAACATTTAGAATTCCCTGCAACCTTGTCTCTGATGATACCTTAAAATTGTAACTTGAGCATGGCTTTTTTGTTAATCATTTACACTTTTGTCTGATTGAATGCTGACCTTGGATAATCTTCCTATGTATCTCAATATGCACCATTAACAGTGGAATCGTATGCCTGGTCTAGTTGTTAATAACTCAGTTCTACATCCTGAAGTTTGTGGCTTCGATTTCGCACAATTTACTTCCAGTGTTGATCTGATCGTATTGAGTTATGTTTGTTTCATCGTCTTCTCTAACTCATATACTCATTCTACCTTCTTCTATACTCTGGATTCATCAGATGGCCCTCTCTGAATTATAGCAATAACGATGAATACAGATAAAACACATCCCTCAAGCAACTGTGATCTGCATTCAGCGTCTCATGATCTTGCTCCACATATAAGGTAGTTGACTACCATCAAAACCTATCGCCGAATTTCCTGGTTTTTTAACAAATATTTTATTATGCTGTTCGAGAAGAAAATGCATGGTCACCGAACTAAAAAATGTGTCAAAACACCAATGAAAATGTATTTTGAGCTATTTGCCATTTGCCATGCGTTATGATGAAAGGTTAACGTCATATCGCTGGAAAAATAATATTTAGCTATAAGATTGGGCCTGAATTATTGGGAAATTCAGACGAATAATGCTTTAACACGAATAACAATGAACATAGTTTCAAATGGCCCATATTTTAGACTAGTATTCTCCTAATACACATTTTGTACTGGGTAAAAAAAACTTAACGTCCATAACTGTCTTCTAAATAAATATTTCTTATGAGAAAAATAAACATGATAATAGTTTTTAACTTATTCAATAGGCCAAATACTTTATATGTGCAATATTAGTTGCGCCATCTGCGCCCTCAAATCGAACAAGCAAATGGTTTGAACACAAATAGAGATTTTACAATTACAAATTTAGGTTTTATGAATATATACATGCCACTTATAAATATTAAATTAAATCAATTCACATGTATTGTATGCATTGTGCAACATATTCACTGTAACCATGTGCTGTATGGTTAAACGTGCTGTCGTCGAATTAAACAAGTCGGAAGGTAAATTTGAAATTTCGCTCACGTGTGTACTATGTGTATATATTACTGTGGATACTCGACTGGTCGTCTTTCAACTCGCGTTATGGCTAACATTCAATGTGATATTAACAGAATTTATATCATATATATCCGATATATCCAATAAATTAGATTGTCCACGCTTAGCAGTCATGGAATATTGGAAAAGATATATATTATGAATTTCAATTAATTAAAAAAATGCTATTCTACTATGATTTGATTTTGTTTGTGTGGTATCAATTATTTGTAATGCATGGTGTGACCAATTCATGCCCTCTATCGTCACGATTATAATTGATTTTGTCTTTATTCTCGTTCAAACCAACACAGTCGAAAATCAAATACATATTCCAAGTAGATTTGCTTCTCAGCTTATAATTTTCTAAAATAAGCAATCGTAT